TAACGGTCCGGAGCCACAACACCCAAATCCGCTCTAGATCAGAAGAAGAATAACTGCTCACACTACCAATGACCCTGAAAGGGCCAAAAAACAGAATCAAAGTTACAACGCAGAACACGAGTTTCCACCAAACAATAGAACTCAGCACCCACACTACTCAGAAACGAGCGGACCTCCCGACCCTTTGCGGCGGCATTCAAGCCTCGCACATTCCATGAACACCAACTAGACATGGTAAACAGGAGGGGATGAGGAAGCCGCTCTCGTACTCAGAGAACCCGCAGCCGCTGTTTAGCACGTCTGGACACAACTGCAGTAAAACCATCCTGCGCATCACATTGAGGCTCATAAAAACCCCTAAAAGGTGAAGAGAAATCCCTCCTTCGCACCACTTGACCTATGTCAGCCGCATCCTCAATAACATCCTCACAAGACGCCAATGCAGCAAAACGATTTCCACCCACAACAGGTCGATTTGGACCTAGATTTGAAACTACAGGCATCCTATCTGGAACCACAGGCTCCTTATCCAAAACTAAAGGAACCGACACTAGCGAATCCAAAGAAGGTCCACTAACCTTCGGAGCCTCAGTCGACACCTGAGGAACCTTTAGAACCCACACCTGCATGGAAGTAACAGGACAAACCGCATCCGAGTGACCAAAAATACAACATCGAAAAAATTTCTTTCAATTTAATTGGTTCATGAATGATTTTTTAGTGCACTAGCAAGAGGAACCCACACAAACATTCAAAACTATGAATTCTAGTGATTCAAAATTAATTAATTATAATTTATCCACACACGGTTATTTTACTAAAAACTTTACCTTTTTTGGTTTTGTTTTTTTTTTTTTTTTAACTTGCACTTTCATGTATGAAATAAACTACATACATACACAAGTTACCCTTTACGGGCCGTAATTAATGACAACAATTGAGGCAGAAGTCTATTTTTTCCTCCAAATAATATTTTACTCCTCAGGTATCAAGTAATCCTTTACTCCTCAAGTATCAAGTAATCCTTTTACTCTAATTAATAATGAATTTATGATTAAACGATGACACCCATTATTCAGTTTTTAAACTAAATCTGTTTTTTTTTTTTTACATATTAATAGATGAAAATGGATGTACACTAAGAGTGATATTGTCTGAAATAGGCACCAATGCCAGAAACATCTATAATATGCAGTAAAAATCTCCTTTGTTGGGTACGATTTCACTAAAAATATAGGTACCGATCACTGAAATTCAATAACACCGAGTTGTTTGTCGATTTTAAATTTCAAGATTTTAAATGATGAAAATGATTTTGAATTTGTAACTGCTTTTGGGAGTTTGAAACCAAATTGATTCTAAATTAATATTCATGAGGAAAAGAAAGTATAACATTTTATTATTATGTCATTTATATTTTGCAGGATATTATATTATTAATAATATAATATTTTAATATAAACTAGTAATTTCAACTTAGAAAACCTAAATAATTTAATCAAATCAACCTAACAAAAGTAGAACTTGTCTCACCTTTATTTTAAAAAATAAATTGAAAAAGAAAAAAACTTGTAAATGTCTTTGATTCAATAATAATAATAAAAAAAAACTTAAAATCAAACTATTCAACTTATTTGCAATAATATGTTTTTTTAATCATAGTTATTTTACGATACACAGTAAAAGCAAAAGGATAAAAGAATATAAAAAAAAAACAAACATATAAAGATTTATACGATATTGGAATATTAGAAAAATTAGGAAAATTAAAAGAGAAAATATACAGGGAGAGTTAGTTTATAGTTATTAGAAAGAAAAAAAGGAACTACTGGCCGCAAATCAAAATTTGAAATTAGGTTCGTGGATACGAAAAAAGAAGGTTAAAGTGATAAAGTTTTTTTTTTCCATTAAAATAAGGTAAAATAGGAATATGTTACGTTTAAACTTAAATCCTAACAAATCCGACCAACGGAAAATATTTGGACCAAAAACAGAATTTGAAATCATTTAGTATTTTAATTTTTTTTAATTCATCCAAACATGTAATATGATTTTAAAATCCCTACCAATCAAGGTTTCCAAACAGGAGTAAACGTAAGAATCTGTATTTTCTTTAATTATTTTTCTGTTAAAAATAAAACATATTTCACAACTTCTTATATTTTATGAACCAAATTGTTATTTTCCAAATTCTTATTCATTCAATCGTGTCCTCAAAATGTAGTAGGCTTCTATTAAACATAATCAAAGTCATTATAATTAAATCAGATATATGATGTCTTATTCGAATTTTTAAAGATATAATATCATATCATGGTCTAAAATTTTGTCAAATTTATTGTAAATCCACATGAACCATTTGAATTAGGTAATAATTATTTGACTTTTATAAAGCAAAACATATGTCATATTTGGCTGTTGCAGCACACCGTTCCAATATGACTGAGGTTTCGTTGACCTTTTATCCATAAATATAACTATATGTTCAAGAGTCTCATATAATGCAAACTTCAATTCCTACCCACCTCACTATAACTCTATTGAATTATTCATTCATCATTAACAAAGGAACAAAGGTGTCGAAGTACCCTATCGAATGAAAAAAAGACGTGTCGAAGTACCTTCGACAACTCATGCATTGACTTTTTTGTAAGGAGAGACTCGAGCATGCAACTTTAAGAGAGGTGAATAATACGTTGACTAATTGAACTATACTAGTATATTCATCTTAGTTTTTTATCTCAACTGTATTTACTATTTACGAATTTACAAGGTATCTGGTTGATACAATGAGAAAAGGAACCACAATCAGAAGCAAGAATTCAAATATTTAATTAGGGCCCTTTTGTAATTTTCTCCTTTGTTGTTGTTTGTTCCTAGTTTTTCCGAAACATAAATGTTTAGTAACTATTTATATTTTTCATTCCTATTTTTAAGAAAAATTTCACAAGTTTCTTTTATCCATTTTCAATTTTTTTTTTCAAAGCATCATTTTATCATTCTTAACCGAAAAAAATCATAATAAATCTTAAAACGTTAATGTAACATAAAAAATTTATAATTTATGCTCTTTTTTTCTTCTTACAAAACTAGACGATATATATATGTATGTGTGTGTGTGGGTCCAAAAAGGAAGAACAAAATTAAGGCAGTTTATGCTTTGACTTTGATCGCTGCTATGAAGACAACCACGGCCAGCTGTAGATACACGTCACATTTTTCAATTTTCCATACGGAAAATGTTGTCTTAATTAGTGTATTTGTATTGATAAATACCATATTATAGATTGTACTTAAAAAGAAAATTCCTGTTACAGATTTCTTATATTTATTCTTTATGTTGTATTGTTCTTATTTCTAGGTGCTTAAATTTAATTCTTCCACGCCTCCAACTAAGAGGTTGTGAGTTCGAATCCTCTCTCCAACATGTTGTACTAAAAAAAAGTTTAAATCCTCCTTATTAACCGTAAGAAAGTCAAGATCTTCTTTAAATTCTAACACTTGAGAGAAGAAAATTATATATGTTATAAAAACTAAATAATTTTAAGAAATTGATACATAAAATTTGCATGCTTCAGGTTTTAAATCTCAATGGTCTAATAATTCATCCGCTGTTATTACTTGAAGAAAAATGTCACTAATAAAGTACTATATTCTCTTTGTTCACACTATAATTTTAACTTTATAAATAATTTTTTAATATTGGTAGATTCCATATCATTTTAATACAATACTAACGTGGTTAGCAGTGAATCCAAAGAGTTTCTATACTCTTGTAGTATCAGAAATTTTCCTACTTACCTACTAGAGGAGAAGAACTAATTGTATGCCGATAAACATAACCCGAAAATGTACGTAAAATCACAATTATGTCCTTAGATGACAAAAGAAATATCTCACGTAGTAAAGTGACAAAAACATGATTAAAGTTACTTGTAAAGACAAAAGTGCTAGAAAACATCATTTATCTACCAATCTAGATGCTAAAATATATATGTTAAAAATTTTGGTACGATGTAAGAGTTACTCCGTTACTTATAGATTAATCGGTGAGTATCTATTTTTTGGTTGGCTACAATAAAAATTTTTATGAGAGAATGTAGAATAAGATTTTCTTTTCCAAAAAACTAAAGACTTAGTCCGAATTTTTAGGTAGTTGTAATTAGTAGAGATGTGAGAGGTATTGACCAGTTAATACGTTTGAGTAATATCATTCTTATCTGTCAAAGTAAATATAGCTTAATGATAATTGACATATATCTCCAACCAAGAAATTATAAGTTCGATCCCCACCCCTACATGTTGTACTAAAAAGAAGTATCGTTCTTACTTTAATATGGAGACATGTGTATCGTATGAGTGTCATCATCACAAGGACACTATATTAAAAGTGTCAACCTAGCATGACAAGGACGAGGATGGCTTCCCTCCCCGTCCTCACTTCTCAAATCATTCCCCATCCCCGCAAAACCCCTATTAAAATCGGTTGTTGGCATTTTCTTTTTATATGTATATATGTGTATGTATATATCTATTTAGGAAAGATTCTACTGCAACATACTTTTTCCAATAGAATTTTCACAGAACAGCTAGATTTCCATTCCCCTTTCCATCTCTCTCCCCTCATCTTTACAATCAAACCACTAATTAATTTGCTACCAATTAATCATATTAGTAACTTATAAATCTTACACACAATCACAAATTAACCAAAACAAATGGAAAAAGTAATTAAGAGTGTAAGAAATGGAAAGAAAACTAGGCATCTTAAAGGCAAGTCGAGTAAGCAGAGGGCTTCTCCCAAATTTTCCATTAGTGCAAAATTAGGAATTAGGTAAATGAAAACGCATGGCAACAATAATTAAGAGACGTGGGGAATATTATTATTGCATTAAATCAATGGGGGAAGTTGGGGAGAAAAAAGTAATTAGCAAAATGACAAAATTTGCCTTCATGCATTTCCTTCTCCAACGCCTTTAAATTCTCAAGCCTTTCAACTGGCTCTGCTTGTTTTTTAACACCTTTCTGTCTCTTTCTCTGCAAATCAATGGCGAAGTTTTTGATGCCTCTCTCTCTCTTGCTGCTCCTCATGAGTTTTGCAGCCATGTCTGAAGGGCAGCTCGGATTTGGGTTCTACTCCCAAACATGTCCTTCTGCCGAGTCCATTGTTCGGTCCGTCGTAAGCGACGCCGTTCGGGCGAGCGCTAATGCGGCCGCCGTGTTGCTCCGCCTTCACTTCCACGACTGCTACGTAGACGTAAGGAAGTACTTGTTTTCATAGTGTTTGGTTAGATAATCAAATTTTTTTTTGAAATTCTCTGTCTAGTATTTTTCTTTTCAAATGTCATCTCAAACTCACTCTTGAGAACTTGTTTTACAGGGGTGCGACGGTTCGATCTTGATCGATAACGGTCCGAGGTCGGAGAAGCTTGCTTTTGGGCATCAAGGGGTGGGAGGATTCGAGATAATAGAGAGAGCAAAGCAAGCAGTGGAAGCAGAATGCCCAGGAGTAGTTTCATGCGCTGACATCGTGGCTATGGCGGCAAGAGACGCCATTGTTCTGGTAAATAACTAACTATGACTTAAATCTACCGATCCAGGTAATTTATTCATCTTTAACAGGAAGTTCTGTGTTTGAATCTCTGTATCGTTGTTTCCTCTTCTTTATATTGATTTTCACCAAAGACTTTTTAGTGAGCGATGGTTTATTCACTCTTAATTTCATTACAGGCGAACGGGCCAGAGTACGAGGTCGAAACTGGTCGGAGAGACGGTCGGGTTTCGGAAATTTCACATGCCGATGATCTGCCGGACGTGGGTGACTCAGTTCAGGTTTTGAAGGACAAATTTGCTCAGAAAGGGATGACTGACAAGGACTTGGTTTTACTAAGTGGTACTGTTTCTCTCTCTTCATCTCTCTCTCTCTCTCTCATGCACGTTTGGTGATATTAAGGTGGTTGGAAAGCCCAGGCATATGAGTTTCGTACCCCATACAAACATTATACTTTTTTGGTTAAATCATAAGTTTAGTCAAACTCGTCACTTTAGAAAGTTTTTAATAAAGTGGACGGCTTCATTTTAATAAGTTTTTCAACTTTCAATTTTGTGTCCCATTATAGCGTTTATGTCATCAAATATATCCAATCGTTTCTGACATAAATGCATGAATCTATCCAAAATCAATCCCATTATAGTCCTTGAATACTTGAGTTATATTAATGACAGGATTAACAATGATCACTTATTAAACATTAGAAAATCTTCAAAATACAAGGTACGAATAAATATAAATATTAAAATTTCACAAACTAATTAAAAGCTTTTTAAGGTATAGGGATTAAATGCATGTTCTAGAGTGATTTTAGGATTCTCATAATCATTTTTGTCATTTTTTTCAAAATCACTCATATTATGATATGTCTAGAAGTGCTTTTGTCATTGTCAAAATCACTTTCAGTAATCTTCTATTGTTGATTTTAGGAAATATCAAAATTACTCTCAAACACATGTCCTAAATACACCGACATAATCTTGAAAGTTAATAACTAAACTTATAATTAATTTAACCAACCTATCTTTCACAAAGATACCTTGTTTTTCACCCCTCATTTCCACACGAACAAATGTTTGGCAAGCAAAAAGATTGATAAAGAATAGCAAAGAAAACAAAGTTTGTCAAAACATTGAAGAGGGCACATAAATGGCAAAACCAAAACCTACTTTTCCATTTATGATTGGGAACCATCGTTAGGTCCAACCACAAGATATTGTAGTAGAGATGTCAACTTTTTCCATGGCAAATAGGGCCACCCATTGCCACCATTTTCTTTAGAGCAACAAATACAGGATTTTGAACCTCTAACTCCAAAAATAGGAGTAGATGTCAATTACTGCTGAGTTATGTTCATGTTGGCAATTGTCACCATCTTAATACACTTGAATAAGGGTCGAGAGATTTTCTAGTTTTTGGAGTTGTACGGGATTTTGAACCTCCAACTCCAAGAGTAGAAGAAGTAAATGTCAATTACTGCTGAGCTATGTTCATATTGGCAATTGTCGCCATCTTAATACAACTTTAATAAAGGTCGAGAGATTTTCTAGTTTTTGGGTGCCTATAAATTATTTTCAACAGATACTTTACCATTTAAGGAAATCATATATGTATTTTGCAATCAAATCCAGATTTTTTTCTTTCCTTTTAAATCTTATCCCATATATTCTATTTTAATCTCTAAATTTTTAAAAATGAATCAAATACAAAACTTTAGAGATCGAGATATAAGATTTCGAAACTTTTTTTTTCTTTTTTCAACTTTTTCAAAAACCCATGTTTACAAGTTATCAAGTCTTGCATATCATACATATGATCATGCCATGTTTACATTGCAATTCTTTTCTTCTAAACCACTCAAAACTTAAAGAATTCATTTCTTCAAGAACTAAAATTGAAAAATATATTTTTTCTTTTTTTTTTTCCAAAAAAAAAAATCCCACACACAAATCTGTATTGAAAAGGGTTGGAAAGATGAGACCTTTTGATCAATCTTTTTCTTTCAATTTAATTAAAAATCAATCATCCCACTTGCCAACTTTGGGGGCGCACTAATTGAACAACACACAGCTGGTGAAGTCACATGGGATTCTCCAAAAACAATCACGGATTTAACTTTGTTAAATTTCTCTTCTAAGATAAGGTTGTCAGTTTTTTTTTTTCCTTATTTTTGTTTTTGGTTTTTTATGCAATATCCCTGCACCCTCTTAAAGCTTTTATTATATATATATATATATATATATATATATTGGTTAGATTATAATTAAATTTGTGTAGTTGAAATTTTAGAATTGTGTCAAATAATAGGTTCTTAAAAAGTATTTTAATATATTTTTTCAACTTTCAATGCTATATCTAATAACTCTCCAAACGGTCTTTCAATCTCTACAATTTTCAATTTTATAACTATTGATTTTCTAAACTTTTTACTCTCATGCATATGATAGAACCTTTATCTATGGATTTTCTAAATTTTTTTACTCCTATATATATGATATTTTTAAAGTTCAAGAACGAACATAAAACTTCTTAGATATTTTTTAAGGTCTAAAAGCTTAATAAACATAATGTATAGATACTTTTCAAAATTTAAGAACCTATATTGAACATAAATATGAAAATAAATATTAGACATCTTTTAAAGTCTAAGAATTTAGTGCCATAGTTCAGCAGTAATTGATACCTATTTTTTTCGTACCTTAATTTATTGTATTAAAAAAAATCTAAATATTGAATCTTTTTAAAGTTTGGTGATTTACTAGAGGTCAAATTTGTAAATTTAACATCAACTAATCGCCTCCCATGAGGGCCAATGCTGAGAGACCCGGATTTCAAAGTGACGCAGTTTGAAACATTGGTCTTGTTTGTTCTGAAACTTAATTAATTAATTAATTAATAATTATTTATGTCATTTCATTTTTCATTCAAATGGTTTTAGGGTTTTGGAAGATAGCTACTAGCTAGCTGCCATATAATACAACGTTTACTCTTCTTACTCTTATAACACACGTCTCGTGACAGAATCACACGTATCTCTATATATATATTTACTTAATTATTTATTTATTAATTAGGTAGGAGTTTGTTTTCTTGTTTATATATATACCACTAGCTAACAGATTTTTACTTGGATTATTTGGTATAAATTTGTGTTTGAATTGTTTTGGAAACTAACTTATAGAAAACTTGTATTTGATTCACGAATCTAAAAGCAATTTGTAAGACTTTTGTGTATAATATAAAAAGTAATCAAAGAAAATGAAGGTTCACGTAATCTAATCCAAACACTCACGAATATATATACATATAAAGTGGGTTTTGTGAGTTTATGTTTATGTAGGATATTGAGAATTAAGATACACAAATTTATACTTAAATTGGTGACATAATGATTAAACTAATGAAGTTAAAATAGGAATCAATTAGACACAGAATTATCGAAATTTTATACATGCCTCATAACCATTTTGTTTTAGTATATTTTTGTTAGCACCGTTGAATCGTTAACCAAATTTGAAAAACAAAAACTAGTTTTTTTTTTTAATTTTCAAAGATACCAAAAAGTGAAGAGGGAAAGAACAAATACATGTGCCAGTTTGATCAGGAAAGAAAGTTGATGTATTGATTGTGTTCTATGCAACCAGCCGCACACACGATCGGAACAACGGCGTGCTTCTTCATGACAAAAAGGCTCTACAACTTCTCCCCCGGCGGCAGCGGATCCGACCCGGACATCAGCCCGGCGCTGCTGCCGGAGCTGAAGTCCCAATGTCCTCCCAACGGCGACGTCAGCACCCGGCTGGCCATCGACCGCGGCAGCCAACAGAGCTTCGACATCCACATTCTCCAGAACATCAGAAATGGCTTCGCCGTGCTCGCCTCCGACGCGCGCCTGAACGACGATGCATCGACCAGGGCCGTCATGGACTCCTACTTTAGCCCCCTCACCCCCATTTTCGGCCCCTCCTTTCAGGATGATTTTGTGAACTCCATGGTCAGGATGGGCCAGATTGGAGTCAAAAGTGGCTCCCAAGGGGAGATCAGAAGGGTATGTTCGTCTTTTAACTCCAGGTAATTAATGGTTATGAAATGGGTATAAGAATTCATGTTGATTAATTACATATATTTATATATATCATATAGATGGGGGAAAGAATATGATCATGAAGTTGTAAGTTGTGTGTGTGTTTGTGTTTGTGTTTGTGTTTGCAAGTATCATCTTAAAAATGAGTGATACCAAATATATATACCATATGATTTTAATGTATATCTTTATATTTCAGTTATTAATTAATTGTTAAATTTATTCAAGTATAAATCTTGTTTTTAAGTTTCAAAATATCTTTAAGTTCTTTGGTCATTGCAGCAAAAGACAAATTAAAATATTTTGATTAGTTATGTTTAATATACATATTTGAATCATATCCCAGGGAGGAAGAACCTCTTCTCTATACCATTTGGAATCATACAACATTAGTATAAGACGCCCAATACAAAAGAATAACCTCATTAATGTCGGGAAAAATAAATGTTGACATTTATATTAAAAAAACAAGATAAATGTCAAACTAAACATAGCTCAATTGGTTAGGATACTTGTATGCGACAAAAAAATCGTGTTTTTGAATTCTCACTCTCATATGTACTCAAAAAGAAAAAAATAAAATAAAATAAATGTTGAACATTTTGATAAATAACATTTGCTATGAATGATGTAGTTTCAGTTTGATCTAGATAATCCCAGACATTGTGTTTGGGGATGCTGATAATTGAGACAAAGGAAAAAAAAAAAACTTTTTAACTCCTAAATGCATTTTTAAATCAACTCTTAAACACACTTGCTAACATGAGTAGTACAACTCAATTCAGGTTCAAAATTTCCTGATATTCTTGTTATACTACTAAAAATAACCTCCTAAAATGCACTTTAAAAAAAAAATTATAAGAAACAATACTTTCATGGAGAGAAATGAAAAAACGATAAGCGCAAACAAAAACAGTCCCAAAGAAGGGAAACCCCAGAAAACGGGCACTTTAAAACTTAAACCAACGCACCTAAAATACTCTAAAATACTCTAAGATGCATAGGAATTCCCACCCAACTTCAAGACTTGTATAATAACCCACTCAACCTCGCCTTGATGCACCAACTTCTACATGCACTATTAGACTTTAACAAACCTATGAGACTTTGAAGTCATCTACTCCTAAATGCATTTTAAGATTTGAACAAACTCAACCAACATCTAAACGTGACTTAAACAAACCCACCCCCAACTCCCTAGATGCATTATTCACTCACACCAACTCTTAATTAAATGCACTCTTAAGGCTTAAACAAACCTTTCCAGACTCCGGAACAAACTCTAACACTTCGGACTCCCTCACCAACTCCTAAATGCACTTTAAAACTTAAACAAACCCAACTCCTAGTTCCATTCAGTGACTTAAGTTCATCGATACCAGTCAAAATGAGGATAGCTTAGCTAGTAGTAAATGACATCTATTGTTTTCTTTCAAGTCGAAGATTCAAATCTTCGTATCCTTACAGCTGTTGTCTTTGAGAGAAGAAGAAGAAAAAAAAAAGAAGTTTACTCATACCAACTCCTTCGTGCACTTTATTAAGACTTAAACCAATCGGTTCGAACTCCTAAATATGCTATAAGAGGTAAACAAACCCTCTAGATTTTAATAAAGCAATCTAAGATAGAAAAGTCATATCCCCACATCCCAATTCCAAAACGCACTTTTAAGACAAATGCACTCTAAAACACATACAAACCTCCACACACCAAATCTTGAATGCACTTTAAGATTTAAACTAACCATCCCAAGTTCCTCGGCGCATTTTAAGACTAACAAATCCGTCAACTCCATAAATGCACTCAAAATGCACCTTCAAGATGTAAATCAATCTCCAACTCCCTAAATTTCTAAATGCAGTCTCTAAGATGCGTAAATACCCCCACCGCACGTTTAAACACACATTTTAAGACTTAAATGAACTCATGCAACTTCTAAATTCACTTGAAGATGAAAAAAACTTCCCCAACTCTCCTAACGCACTCTAAGATGCCAAGACTCATCACCCAACTCCTAAACAGTTTTTTGTTGTTAGATACTTTATGTTACATGGTATAGATCAAAGTCAACAAAATTGTTTTCATGAGCTTTGATGTATACATGGCCAACAAAAAATACATTCATTGACTTTGATATGTACAAAGCTAACGAAATGTCAAATTCATCACTTCAGTTTACCTAGGCTGGCAAATTTCTTTTTGTCAAAGAATGATTTTGTTCAGTGAAACTGATTTTTTTAATAAGAACCCAATGTTATCCCTATCTCTGATAAATCAGTACTTGACTAAATGGCAAGAACATTGAGAATGGATTACTTGAATTATTTTCAAACAGCAACATCATACAATTCAACCATTTGCCTTGTTCTTTAGATATTCTACGGTATGATAGTGATACTAATAAGATACCTGGTCATTTGTCTATTTGGTTGAGACTCCCAGAAAGTGTCAGTGGACAATAAGACCCGAGACCTAAATGGAAGGAGAAATGATCATGGAAGAAGTTAACAGCTGCGGAATCATTCTGTGGAGATGGCAACAACTTGCTTCCCAATATTGCGACCACTAAAGAGACCAATCAAAGCTGCCGGGCCACTCTCGAGGCCGTGAGCTGTGTCCTCGACATAAGTTATCTTTCCTTCTCTAATATAAGGCAACATTGCTTCTAAGAAGTTGGGATAGAGGTGGTAATAATCAGAAGCAATGAAACCTTCCATTCGGATCCGCTGCATTATGATATGTATCAGGTTGTGTACGCCATCCGACTGATCGAGGTTGTATTGAGATATCATTCCACATGCTGAAATCCTGCCATGCAGTCTCATGTTTAAAAGTACAGCATCAAGTGTTTTCCCTCCTACATTTTCGAAGTAAATATCTATACCTTCAGGGAAGCATCTGTTGTCAAAATAACATATAAAATAAGGTTCCAATTCAAAATTACGAATTGGAAGTAGAGTTAATATTTCAATGGAATGTATGATGCTAACCTTTTCAGTGCTGCATTTAAGTCATCTTCTTCTTTATAGTTGAAGACCTCGTCAAATCCAAACTTGTTTTTCAATAGCTCAATCTATGTCGAGCACACACAATATGAACTTAACATTTCAATGGAATTTTTGTCTTTAATAAGTGATATTAATGAGAAAAAACCAGAAAGTATAAAGTGCAAAGGCTAACAACCTAAGCCTAGCTCAATTAGTTAAGGCATTATACATCTGTCCTAAAGGTAGGATATTCAAATACGCCCCATAAATTGTTGATCTTAAAAAAAAGAAAAAAAAAACAGTATAAATATAAGTCCCCTATTCAAAAATCAAAACTTTCTGCACCATGTGTTAAACTTTATCATCCTATGTTAGTTCTTATGTATTTCATAGTTTTATTTCATTTTCTTCTCTAAACTTCCAAACATTATGTTTAGTTTCTGAACTTTGTATAGAAACCCATGCAAACCAATGTTTGAAGCCAATCAAATTACTAAAATAATTTTTTATGCCAAGTTGAAGGACCTAAGACAGTATTTCAAAGTTGGAGACAAAAGTAGAACACTTAAAAGTTTAATGACCAGAACGAAAGATACGAAAGTCTAGGAAGTAGGAAGCTTGGAGACAAAAATAAAATTTAAACCCAATACATATCTATGAATCAACCATTGTTTTTTCTTTTATCGAGAAATCAAGCTGTGAGAGTCCTAGTAGGGATAGTTTGGGAATATTATTATATCCGTGGGGGTATTATGGTAATTAGTTATGGATGAGTGGTTATAAATAGGGGTAGTAGGGAGAGGAGAAGAGCATCGTGGAGAATAGTTTAAGGTGCGGAACTTGAGAGAGTTCTTGGAAGAGAGATAGTCCTCTCGAAAGGCTATTCATATTGTAATTTCTCTTTAATATTGCATTATAGTTATTTAGTTTCGTTTGGTGTAATTGGGATCCTAACACAAGCTTTCATGGAGAATGATGAAAGAATATTATCAATCAACTATTGATAACAAAATATAAAACAGTACATTGCGAAGATGACTAAATATCACAAAATGCTTGAGCAATGAATGAACAGTTTTGTTACAGCATGAAACTGAATTTCGTCAAAGAAATGAATACTTTACTTAGGATAGAAGCAGCTTTAACTAAAATGGCTCACCTTCTCTTTGCTTCCAGCACTCCCAACAACATAGCAACCCACCAACTTTGCTAATTGGCCAACAAGTTGACCAACTGCACCAGATGCTGCTGATACGAACACATATTCTCCCTTTTTGGGGGAGCATATTTCGTGGAATCCAAAATAAGCTGTTATACCAGGCATACCTGTAAAAACAAATAATGTATCAAATATTATATTGTTCAACTAAACTAATGAGAAAACCATCCCTGACTTTTATCACTTTCTCAAATGATAAAAGGTTCATAGATCATGTTTTACCAGGACAACATATGGACAATCCTCGTCCTTCACATTTAGTTATGGGCTGCATAGTGTTGCAAATTATGACTAAGCAATGCTAAGTTGTGTATATCAAGTATTGTTCCAAAACCCAAAGTCATCAGTCTTGACAATAAGAACTCTACTTGCATGTTTTTGAGTTAAATATCCGAGTTTTAAAATCTTACATCCATACAGGAAAGCCAAAGCCTTCATGGAAAGCTCAATAAGAGTCACTAAGCAGATGGTAGAAGATCAGTATCTTTCATCGTACAGCCTAGTAGCTTTGTTATGCATATACTAGAAAAATTCGTTGCTAGAGTAAAACAAAGTCATTAAGTGACAAACATGAAACAGAAGTTCTTACTCTTAGACTATAAAGAGTGTTTTTTAAAACTCGAGATGCACTAAAATGCAATAGTTTAGGACTTAAGTGCAGATTTTTTTTTCACAAGGTACACAGTGCACTATATATGAAAATACATAAATATATATACATATTAACATATATGGAAATAAATGAGGTATAAAAAAGAGAGAGAATCATAGGTGGCTCATTGGTCCAAAAGGGCTAGGGTTAATTAAGAGGGAATGGATTCAAACTCCATGATGGTCACCTACCTCAGGAATTAGTAGTTCTTATGTGTTTCCCAACACCAAATATAGTAGGGTTGACCACCTACCTGAGGAATTAGTAATTCATATATGTTTTCCGGTACCAAATGTAGTAAGGTCAGACAATTACCCCGTGAGATTAGTCAAGGTGTGCGTAAGCTGACTCAAACACTCACGGATATATAAAAATAAAAAATAAAAAACAGAGGGAGGAAGCGTTCAATGTTTTTCTGGAAGAAGAGAGACGAAGAAAATGGTAGGTGGGCTGCTGACTAAGTAAAGGCATAAAAACCCAAAACGTGTGTTTTGCACCTAGTGAATTTTTTTGTTTTAATATTATTTAAAGAAGCCCCGAGGCACTATGCTTTTGCACCTCAGGGCCTCGGAGACACCAATAAGAGTGACTTTGGCATGGTTTTTTGAAAGGTGAAAATGGTTTTTTTTTTGTCACTTAAAACTTAAAAGTACTCTCCAAAATTTTCCGAGAGAAAATCTCATAAACACTTAAAAATAAGAAACTCTATAGTGCTATTAATTAATGCTTCTTCCCAAAGTTGTTATAGAAAAAATGCTCGCTTAAAGGAACTATTCTCAAAATCATCCCAAACCCACTATCTACAATACAATTCTTCAGTCAGTGAATTGAAAATTCAGGCAAAGTATAGACACAGAAACTTTACCAAGAATTCCAGTATAATATGAAAGGGGGACATCAGTATGCTGGATCTTGAAGAGTTTTGTAGTTTCCTCAACGACAGAGTACTCTTCCCATTTCAAAATTCCCCAAACTAGGTCACCTCCATTGTAGTCCGGGTGGGCAGACTCCAAAACTCTGCCTACTCCATACCCAAACAGCACCTGCAAATGTTTTCCTCACACAATTTTACCAAAATCTAAAAGCCTAGTTCACATTCTCGTTTTAAAATTTGTCTATGTTTGTTAGAATTTCAAAACAGAATTTGGTACTCTCACGAGAGCATTCCATCTAAAAATCTCGTGTCCTAAAGAATACAATAACATCCATTAGAACCAATTTCATTCTCCTGCATCTAAATAAAAGTGATAGAGCGAGGGAAATTACCGAGCCAGGAGAGAAGGAAATGTCGGCAGGGCGTTTTTTCATGAGCAATCGCATGTAGGGATCGCAGGAGAGATAGAGCGTCTTGAGGAGTACTCCATTGGAACCTTGAGGAAGCTTCAACCGGATGCTGCTAGTGGTAACGAGGAAATCCGATTCCTTGGGGAAACCGCTGATAAAGTCGCGGAAAATCACCTGCTTGTTCTTCACTTCGTCTCCGAGGTGCGCCATTGCAGAATGCAGTAGCACAAATCCGATAATGGATGGAATCGGATTTAGAAGACTAACATTGTGCTCAAAATTTGTGGCCGATTTGATCGGAACGTAAGTTGGTAGGATCAGATTGGAATATGATTTTAAGAATTATTATATTAATTTGGATTATGTTTAGTTTAGTATTGTATTCCACCTACAAACTGTATTAGTAGTAATTAAACGGAACACTGGCAGTTTGGATGATTAATGTGACCGTTGGATATGGACGGTTTTATTAACAGGATTTGTAACAGTCACAATTGTATTATTGTATTGTTGAAATCGTTGACTTCGACTTTATCCATATTTGTTATCTGAATGCTTAATTTGCGTTGGCATACTTGTTTTTTAATAATAGAAATTTTGAAAAGTTATCGGTGTTTTCAGATTTGTATAAAAACTTAAATAAATATAATATTTCAGATTATAAAATCATTTCATTTTAGTTAAAATTAAAACACATGTAAATTATATAATACTGTAAAATAACAATTATACAAAATTAAAAAAAAATTAATAAATCAATTAATATTATTTTAAATTGAACTAAATATTTAATTAACCATCATCACTGGTTTACAAATATTACTAAACATAAGTCAACAATTTATTAAATTAAGATTCAATTTCTAAATTTGTTATCAAACACATATCTCAAAATACTAAAAACAAATAATACAAATCTACAAACCACGAACAAAATGCACCCTAAATTTTTACACGTTTAAAGCATCTTTTAATGATACTTTGGCCTTTATTTTTCTTTTATATATGTTATTTAATTTAGTCATGGGTTTAAAGGATTGCATGTAGTTATGAGTGGTAGATTTTTAACAGATTCAAACCATAGGCAATAGAAGCAATAAAACTAACAAAATTGTCAAAAGAGACCTATTAAACATAAAATTAAAATTTTACAAATATATAAAATTTTAAGAGTTTAAAGGCTAAATAGAACAACTCTAGAAGTTAACAATTACAAATAGCATACAAAGGCAAAATAGCTAAACCTGTCATTAAATAAAACACTTGGCAATTTCAGTATTCAAACAAATTAAAACACATCAAATCTTAAACAGCCCCCAATAACTCAAATATGTCCATTTTGTTCTTGATCATAAAACAATTACAACTTGAAAATGTTTGGGGGTCACAAAAAAATATTAAGAAACATCTCATATGACAATTGATACAAGAACACAACTATGGAAAGAAAATCATGGGGAAAAAAACAAAAACAGAACCAAAAAGCCAAAGAAGTTTAAAATGTAATTCGTAAACATTTGAAGTCGTAACGGGATCGACAGGAGGGCCTACTATTTGGCTCGTCAGTTTCACCTATAACACTTTCATGGCAGCAAACAAAGATGAGATACATATATAGGGCAAATTACCGGAGACGGTTTCCTTCAATCGCATGGAGAAGAAAAGGAATGGACATAACCCAGAATGGATTTGAAACCAAACTGATCCAGGAGGTGAAAGAGACTCCAAACAAACTTTGGATGGACAGAATCACACATCTGAATCAATCTCCGGAAACAAAACCAAGAACAAGCAGATCCAGAAACAAGGCAAGAACACCAAAGTCTCCCCCAATAAGAGCAAAGTGGAAATAGAACCATAAGTGGAAAAGATGGACAGCAGTTGCCGAACTCATCAAGAGCTTCCAAACAACTTGCCGAGCATTTTAGCGGTACCAAACCCCCTCAACCATAAGCCAGCAGGATATATTTGTAGATTAAGTGAATTTATTTGCAAAATTTCTCGAGCATCCCAAAGGGCTTTGGTAAATTTTAAGTTTAACGCGCCCAATTAACAAGAAACTGTATTATGCACCCAATAAGACCATAAAAAGGAAGGATGCTGCCAAAAAGTTCACAACATCAATATAACACAATACACAGGTCACTTATTAAGACAGCAAGTCAGCAGAAAGAAGAGTAATTACCTGTTAACTCCTGTGGAACTTTTAAGACAATGAGAACAACATTCTGAAATGGAGATTTCACCTCACGTTTCCGGGACAGGACACAGTTCTTCTCTAGTCGCAGCTTATCAAAAACCAGGTCCTCTCAAACCCATCCAACATCAAAAACCAGGTCTAGTTGTAATCTAAAAGCAAATTTTCAAAATGAAATGGTGCAGCAGTTATTGCAATTGCCTGTGTACGTGTCACAAGTAATCCAGCAGCTACAATGGCATTCAAAGACCACAAAACCAGATTTGAATGAATATGTCAAGAACACATACACCACTGTACCAAGATACCAAATTCATCACATAGGAACACACACATCTTAATATTAATGCCAAGTTCTGCACTTCAGAACTCTGAACTGTAAGAGAGACAACCTGTAGAAAGAAACATTAACACTCTGCAGGGCGTAACAGCAAGATCCCACCATGTAAGCTGCATTCAGTGGGACAATACAAAACATCAGTACAACACAACCGTAAAGAACAAGTAAAGTTAAGATAAGTTACACACCTTCACAGAAAAGTCACAGTTCTATCAAGAACGAAAACCACCAGAACTGCGTCGCTCATATGGCCCAGACCGGTCACGATTATGTCGATCGCTTCCTGAACCTCCTCGATCACCACTACTCCTATTGCGCCCGCCAAATCGATCTCCATTTCGATCAGGACCATAACGACCACTGCCACCACCACCACTACTATATTTGTCATCCCTACCACCATACCTACCTCCTCTACCACCTTCACTAGGACACTCCCGAGCAAAATGTCCAGGCTTCCCACATTTAAAACAATCTCCACTGTTAGATCCACGTCCACCGCCAAAATCTCGATTTCGATCACGATCATGATCACGACCACGTGGACGATCGCCATCATGATCTCTACCTGAACCTTGGTTTGGCTGAGCCTTATCAACAGTAATACTCCGGCCATCTAAATCCATTCCATTCATGGCTTTGATTGCCTCATCCATAGCTTTTTTCTCATCAAAAGTGACGAAGCCAAAACCACGGGAACGTCCAGAAAACTTGTCAACAACTACCTGTGAAATGGATGATGCATTGTCAAAATCTTACGGATGACTATGGAAAACCCTTTAGCACCAGAGACCTACACTATCATCCATGCACCAGCCTTAAATTTCTCACATTTCTATCAACCATTAAACAATTGCCATTAAGTTGAAACAAGTACAAAAGAATCATCATTCAAGGAATCCGTTTTCCTTTTTAGATTTTTCTTTTTAATAAGAGAGAGAGGGGGAGAATGATGCGACGGAACCCATTACACCATTTACATCCCCTTGTCACTTGGCAAAAGAAACACAATATGAAGATCCCCACATAGGAAGCAATATCTATCCAATAAGAACCGTATTACACAAGAAAAAATTAAGACCATCATAGTAGATACCTTGGCCTCGAGAAGATGGCCAAACTTTTCAAACGCTTCTTTCAGGCTTCTGTCAGACGTTGACCATGAAAGGCCACCAATAAAGCAGCGATACTCCACCTCTTCAGCCATTATGTAAGCTACGTCGAACAACCGCAGTCAAATCAATCTAATTTCCCATTATAAAAAATAGCGAAAGCGTCGAAGTGATATAAGCAGAAAAACGGGGAAAAGAGTGACAAAGAATTCGAAGAACCTGACATAAAAAAACGAAATTAACTCGTTGAAATCGAAAGGATTTAAAAGAAACAGAAGGAATACTCAAAATTTTCCCGATCCGAAGATTCAAAACACCACAATTAAGCTAAATTATACACACCTAAGTAAGGCAAATCCAACCAAGAATTAGACACAATAGCAATTCGATACCCTTATCCAGGAATTGGAATGAACAAAATCATAAAATGTGAAGAGAGGAACAGACTACCAGCAGAATTGAGCTGAAATTTTCTGAAGAACGAAAAGCCCTTCGAATTCGATTCGCTACGGAGAAAACGTAAAAGAATCAGAAAAATCTAAAAGCCGAAGCGAGGGTGAGATCAGATGGTTATGCTGGTTGTAGGGCAAAGAGCCAGTCAACGGATTGAAGACCTCTGCGGGTGCGGTTATTTATGAATCGTCACGGACGGGCATTTTAGTGAACTCCACTACAGCTTGATCCGTTTCATTTAATTGGGCCTAATAAGGCTCGGCCCAAATTCAAAACTTCAGAAAGAAGGAAGAATTTTATGAAATTGGGATTAGGGGTGAGCAAACCCTCCAAAAAACTGATCCATCGATTTATGGTCGAAGTCGATTTTGTCGTTACAAAAACGATCAATTGTTCAATTTAATGGAAAATATGATTTCCGATCGAACCGATCAACTTTTAAAATTTAATGGAAAGGTCTTCAATGGGGAAGCAAGTTGTTGATGGAAGGTATTCTCAGGAGAATTGGAAATGGGCGAAAGACTTGTTTTTTTTGAAGACAAATGGTTGTCCAGGGAAACTTCTTTCAAGTTAATTTCACCTTGACCTGTTGGGGTGGAATTGAAGGTTTCAGATTTCATCACTCCGTCCAAGCAATGGGATACCCAAAAACTACGACAGACTATTCTAGAAGAGCATGTAGAGACTATTCCGAAAATTCCAATTAGTTGGTATGAGATTGAGGATATGTGGGTTTGGCATCATAATAGTTAAAAGTGGCTATAAGTTTGGCCATCAATTTGAAGATGCCCTCGTGCTCCTCTAGTAATCAAAGGGGGTGAATGGTGGAAGAGTTTGTGGAAGCTAAAGATTCCTCTCAAAATTATAATGTTCGTTTGGCGAGTGTTTACAAAGTGTGTGCCTTCGTTGGAGAATCTAAGGTCAAAAGGCCTAGAAGTGAGTTTGGATTGTGCAATGTGTGGAAACAAACCAGAAACTACAAATCATGCTCTATTCCGATGTAAAAGAGCCAAAGAAATTTGAGAATTGATTTTACCTCATCGGAGCCTTCACAGAAATTTCTCTCATTCAATTCAGGATAGGCTCATATCTCTTCATGAGGAGTTATCTATCAAGGAATTTGAACTGGTTTGTGTTAGTTGTTGGACAATTTGGAATGACAGAAATGCAATTCGGGCCTAAAAACAAATACTTGATGTCAGGAGCAAATGCGAATGGATTCCTTCTCATATGAAGGAAATTAATTCTAGTTTTCAGGCACATCTGTAATATCTGGTCTCCACCTCCCCTGGGGTGGGTTAAATTTCATGTTGATGCGGCGTGTAATCCGGCGACTCCTTGTATTGGTATAGGAGCTATTTGTCGGAACAGTGAAGGGGAAATTTTGGTTACCATGTCCAAAGGCTTCGATGTTCACTACGATCCCCTAACAGTGGAATTACTCGCCATCCGTGAATGTCTGAAGCTCGCTCTTCAGTTAAATTATCGATCTGTGCAGCTGGAGTCGGACTGTCTTCAAGCTATTGAGCTTCACAAAGGGGACAAAGCGATTTGGTTGGAGCCTGGCACCTGGGTTGAGGATATCAGAAATTCCATGATACATTTCACCCCGATTTCATTCTTGCATGTGAGAAGAGAAGGCAATAGGGTTGCCCACAAGCTCGCGTCGAATGTGGTTGCCTCCGTGGGTTTTTGTGTCTGTTCTTCTAATTTCCCAATTTAGACTATTAATAACTCTATAAGGGACTGTAATAGCCTTTTAGGCTTTGCGTTAGTTTTCTAATAAAAGATATAAATATTGTGCGGACTGCATTAATGCCGTCTACACACCATGCTGCAGTTTATATGCAAGATATGACCACGGGTCCTACAATCCTCCTTCCTTTCTTCCACTTTCTTCTTCCTTTCGTTTTCTACTTCCTCCGGCTCTTCTTCTCTCGATCTCATTTTTGTTATTCTATTTTTCTCTTAGATTTCTCGATTTCTTCCGTCGCTCACTAACGTTAGATACCACAGTAAGACTTTTTTTTTCATTCTTGGAATCTTTTCTGGTTCTTTCATTTCTTAATGTGTTTTAGCCTCTTTTTTATGTGTTTTTAAACATGGTTCTTCCTATATTTTTACTTCAACGTTCCACTTTTTGATTAAAAAAAACTTTAAACCAAAAAATCAACCGATCCGTTGGTCGGTGCAAAAAAAAAAAAAAACTAGTCGGTTTTCATTTTTTTAAAAACCATGTGGTYGGTTCGATGTTGATTCAGGTCAAAAACCGACCCCAATTGATGATCACCCCTAATTGGGATGGTGTCCTTATTTATAATATTTTGTTGGTTCATTTTTTTCCTTTTTTACCATTAAATGTCCAATCCCTCCTAAATTCATGCAAAAAAATTAATTGGTGATTGCAAAAATACTAACCTTTGAATTTTGCAAAAATAGCAAAATTTAAAAGCTTCCATCCATGCACAATTAATAAAAGAGATAATGTCTTCGATGAGCTATTTTGGAAATTTATTGTCACACATGTTCGATATTTACAAATTCTACTGTCTTAGATTTATGGATTTAAAATTTTTTTCAAATGTCAACTTTGTCCTTTTTATGGCATTTATATTTATTATAATTAGTCTTTTATTTAAATGTAAAATATTATATTTCAAATTTGATTTTGTAAACATTATTGTGGGATCTAAATCAATCATTCTCACAGGTCCCTAATTTACTCCATAATATATTTTCTTAAAGAATGAAATGTATTACAAAATATTCAATTATTCTCATAATTCCAAAATTTACTCCTTAATATATTCTACTAAATAATGAAATTTATTATAAAATATTTTATCATTTCATTCTAATTTTTGGTCCAATTTCAATACTATAACCATTATAGCATACTTTTATATATATATATATATATATGTAGATACATACATATATGGAGATATAAACTATATCCGACTACCTTTTCATTTATATGGAAATATAAACTATATCTGGTTATAAACTTAAGCAACATACACTTAATAATGGTGATATAAACTATAGTCATTATAACATACACTTATATGGAGATATAACCTATATTTGGCTATAAAGTATATACGATGTCCCTCTACAATTAACAAACAAAGCAAATAACCTACAAACCTTCCAGTCGGTGATTAGACAATGGTTGGGATAAATGAATAGCTCGAATGGTCGACGGGCGACTAGCGACGAAAAAGAAATCTCGGGATAAACGGACAGAAACAATGGACGGGCGACTGTAGACGAAGGAGAAGCTAGACGGACTATTCCGGTGACAAAGAAGAATGGAGACAGCGGTCGGAGACGAAGGAATGGACGGAAACATAACGATGGAGGAAGAAGAAAAATTGGAGGACTGAGGTTTTCGAATTTTTTCAATAATGGAGAATTTTTGGGATTTGGTTAGTTTTGAGATTCGGTATTTTTTTACTCTTGGAAAAGTCTAATTAAGCAAAATTTTAGGGATTTAAAATGTAACCAAGTAACCAATTTTGGATTTTAAAAAATAATTAATATTGAGGTGTATATACAAAAGGAAATACTAGTAAATTGGATGATGGGTACCATATTAAATGAGGTTGTTTCATGAAAAAAAGTGTAAATTTTATACATCAATCCTGATGTAATCATACTTCCTAAATAGCCTATCAATGTATTAATCCCTTAATAAAATGTCTAATTTACCGTTAAACGATTAAGCGCCTAACCCAAATAGTTTAGACCAGTTTCCTTTGGATTTACCTCTTTCTGTTTTCTTCTTCTCCCTAGATCCTATGAATTTTTTATGGGGCAACTTGAAATATGGCAAAAAAAAATTAGGGAAATAAGCAAAATTGCAACAAAGTTTGGGTTTTTCAAATATAGCATTTTTTTTGCAAAAAAACGGAGGCTCATGTTCTAAATTACAAATATATCCTACAGGCCCAAACCAACAATAAATTACTTCTGATTGACTTCTGATATACTAATGATTGACAGATATACTCCTGATATATATGTAATAATATATGTTTGATATACATATGGTATGAAATTGATTTACTTCTGATATAACTATGATATCTACTACTATAGGTGACATATAATTGATTGACTTCTGATATACTATTGATATACTCCTGATATAACTATGATTGACATATATACTCCTGATATAACTATGATTGACATATATACTCCTGATATATATGTGATATGTGTTTCATATATATTTGATATGAAATTGATTTACTTCTGATATAACTATGATATATACTACTATAGGTGATATAGAATTGATTGACTTTTGATATACTATTGATTTACTTGTGATATAACTATGATTGACAGATATACTCCTCATATATATGTGATATATGTTTGATATACATATGATGTGAAATTGATTTACTTCTTATATAACTATGATATCTACCAATTATTTCGAACATATTACCTCTAATATATGTTTTATGATATACTACTAATATATGAAATAATTTTTTTTTCCAGATAAAAGCAATGGTACAAATACGAAAAATGAAATAAAAAAACATCGTCGAAAATGTTGATGTCGTTCGTCCCAAAAGACAACAGAAACAACGCCAAAAGTGTTGTCTATGGAAAAACAGAAATCTTCAAAGATAGTATCTCCGAAAACACGACAATCACTAAGAACGAAGATTGATATCTCAAGCTTTTACCTAAAGATTATACAAGAATGCAACTTACGYTTTTCTAGACTATTGGAACTTATGCTTCTGGAACTTATGCTTCTACTTTTATAGAATTTTAAGAATGACATTGTTAGTCTACTTTTGGTTTATGCTACTGGTTCGTTTTGATGTTTAAATCTTTAAGTTTTTGGTTGAAGGACTTTGCTGCTGATTTGATGTTGATGTTGATACCCAAAAATGATATTTAAACCTTTTAAGAATGACATTGTTGCTGCTTTCATTTTGATCTTTAAAACTTTAAATAAAACTTAATTGTACTATTGATATATGTACAGTGTATACTTGATATATGACTGAAAAACCCTAAGTTTCTATTTACCTCTAATTTCTAATTGATTTCTCATTCATAGTTATTTCGAAAATCACCATTGATGTTCACATTGACGTTCCTTTCAAGTTTTATTTCTCATTTTCAATAAGTATCAAAAAATTTTCTCATTTTCCATGCACGCCAATACCTACTAATTTCTAATTGATCAAAAAAAATACAAGACAAAAGGTTAAAGCAGGTAAAATAATAATTTACTATTATACAACTGATATAGAACTGATTGAATTTTGATATACTATTGATTTACTTCTGATATACTAATGTTGTCAGATATACTCCTGATATATATGTGATATATGTTTGATATATAATAACGAAGCGATAACTGAAAAGGGTAATTTGGGAATACTGAAAATTTTAAAATCAGGATTTTCAAAAAAAATGTTATATCTGAAAATATCAAAAAGACATGCTATTTTGTTAAATATAGAAAACTTATATGCTATCCATTACAAATCCTCATTTTTTATTTACCTCGGTTCTTGATCATGTTAATAGTATATCTTGATCTATTTCATATTAAGTATATCAAATTCGAAATATATCACTTGTCTTTATATCCTTCGTTGTATTCTTTTTTTTTTTAATGGAACTTCATTGCATTAATAAGTAAACGTCACCGGGCTACATTTGACAACAATGAATTGTTAAAAATATTAAGAAGTCATTGAGAAAAAACAAGAATTTCATAAAATAGAGGAGTGAGAAGCAATAACATACTTAGCCAAACGATGAGTTGGTCTGTTGAAACACAAATTTGATCTCCTAAAACATCTCCTTCATCTCCAAAATTTATTGCACCCAAACATACGGTTCACTCAACGTCTTCTTCTCCCTAAAAAAAGGTTGGATCACTTTGAGGTAGTTCGATTTCGAAACCTAACGAGGCAAAGTACTAATTATATTAGGCATATTAGATTTTGTTTTAATTATATTACAATGTCTTTTTAGTCTTTTAATGTATATCACTGATTCATAACTTATTTATACACAAATATTCTAGGTCTCCCTCTTTCACCACAATATGCAATTTTTTACGGCCGCCAATCTATTGTCCATAAAATAAAACATTGGTTTCTAATAGAATGCCCAACAAAAATTATGTAAGACTTGAATGTTAGCGCCCATTTACCTAGTACCAAGATATCACCGAGTTATTAGACCTTTATCTACTCCATACAAGATAAATTAGTTAAAACTTATGTATACTTTGATGTATTCCATATTATATATTTCAGTTATATACAATTGATATATCTTGATGTATTGCAACTAAAGTAAATCAATTAACTAATTTACCTTGATGTACTCTATAGTATATAATTGACATACCACGTATAAACTATATCAAACTATATTAGTTATAGCTGATATACCAGTCCAGGGCACAACAAGATGTATCAGTATATTTAATATACCTAGTAGTCGATAAATCTCAAGGTAAATTTTGAATAATAAAATATGGAAAAAAAAATTCTAGCTACCCATTACAAATATTCATTCCATTATATCAGGCTCAGAAAAGGCCCAAACATTTGTAGTTTAGTTCAAATTTAATCTTATGTTTAAAACAATTTCATTTCATACTCCTAATTTTTGGTTTGTTTCAAAACAACCACCGTTAGCAATTTCTACTAAAATTCTTTGTAACATTTTGAAAAGGTTTCAAATGTTGAGTAAAATTCAAACCAACTACATTTGCCGTATTTTGCCAAAAGATTAATGCATTTATACTTTATATTAAATTTTCACATGTAAAAGCTAGAATCAAGAGTCTTAAAAAATGGCGAAATCTTGCCAAGCTCTAGAGATGGCAAAAAAAATTTGCGAGACCCGATCTCCGTGGGTAATGCGACTCAGCCGGGTCGTGGGAGCTTGGCAAAAAAATCCACGATACCTGATCTCCATGTGTAATGTGACTCAGTCAGGTCGTGTAATCCCTGATTTGACTGGAAACGGGGTCAAATCGAAGATCCTAAATGGGGTCTTCGAAAGGGATGGGGTGGGGATGAGGGAGGTCTCCCCCACCCTGTGCAAGATTGTAGGTGAGCAATTTCTGTTGGGCCTTTATCATTTTTAGGTCTATTTGAGTTTTTATTGGTTGGAACTCCCCCCTTCACGACTTTCATCCCCAAGACTTGCTTGCTTCGTATGGAGTATGCCCCACTGGTTATTATATTTTTTATATAATCATATTAATATATTAATTTTAATAAATACTTTTAATTGTATTTAGTTGAATTTTAAAATATTTCCTAAAAGAAAAAAGATTATATTTTTTAAATAATTAAAATATTAATAAATATTTCTTTAAAAAAATTAAAAAATCTATAGATATGTAGGGGAATTCCCGCTGCATCCTTACCCCAAAATTTTGGAGACAAGGGCAAACATGGGGAAGAGCGATGCTAGCCTTAAATTTGAATCTAAAAAAAAAATAAGATAAAAGTAAATGGTGAAATCTTGAATATACCTTCGTTTCCTTTAAATACTTTATTTTTTTAAAATTGAAAAAAAGAATGCAAGAGTTTTGCAGTCATTTCCGTCCCTTTTCCCCGAAGTTTCCATCAGTTCTTTGTGTATCTTAAATAAGAATCGAGAAAATTGTTACAATTCTCTCAATTTATTTTTTACAACTTGATTTTCCCTCCCACCAAAACGCATAAGAAAAACAAATCAGATTCATCCACCGCGCGTGGCTGCAGCGGCAGCGGCGGCGGCGGCGGCGGAACTGGACGGCCCTCTTCCCGCTCAAATCCTAACGTTCAACGAGTGTTTCAACGTTCCTACATGGAGAACATGAAGGCCCAACGCAATTTTCCGGCTTCCGATCTCGTCGGTGACACTCAAATCCTTGCATACATCCACCTTGAATCGAACCACCGATTCTCCGCCGGCTCCGAGAGAGACCTTTTCGAAACCCAGAAGGTGTTTCTGAGGCGAATTGTGGACTGATGGCGGTGATGAGTACAGAAAAACGGTGTGGCTTCCGCTTCTCTGTCCGACGTTCGTTACTCTCAGATGAACATCGAATCCCAAGTTTTGGCAACTCTGTTCCACGAGGTTGAGCGAGTGGCATTTTGATGAGCGGCAACTGTGGCCTTCCTCCAACGGGATCGATACGAGCTTTGGGGCTCGAACGAGGTGATGATTGTAATCGGAATAACTCAATCCGTCCCCAAATGAATAAACTGTTTCGCCTGCGTAGAATCTGTAAGTTCTTCCTGGGTAGCCATTGGATGAATCTGGTCTCATTTTCATGTTCGTCATTGGGACCTTCTCTACGTATGATTGTGGGTACCAAGTCATGGGTAGTCTACCACCTGTTTGATAAAATGTCTAAGTGAGTTTCGAAATTCTGCTTCTTCATATTCACTGGAGTTAATTGTTCCTTCAGGTTTGTTAGTTAAATAAACTGAATTCTGTGGTTGGAGGATGTTTTACGTGTCGAGAGGTAGACTTACTTGGATTAAAGGACCCAAAAATTACATCGGCTATGGCAGCACCCCCAGCTTCGCCAGGGAAACCAACCCATAGGATGCTAGTGATTTTGTCATCATTTTTGGCAAATGTTACATCCATGCCTCCACCAGTCATTATGACTAGAATTACAGGTCCTTTTGCGGCTCTAGCCACTTCAGAGATTAGAAGTGGCTGCTGCCCTGGAAGATTCAGGTCAACTCTGTCACGACTCTCGGCTTCGATCGATTGATCTGATCCTACTACGAGAACTGTCGCATCTGCAGATGCTGCTATTTTCTTTGCTTCATCTAGCTGGGCGGAGGTGCAAGCCACATTGGCGCAGCCGGGCTGATACGAGGTGGAAACTACGGCTGATAGGCCTTGTAAAGGAGTTGTATATTTGCACGGCGTGCCTGCAAAGTGATAAAGAAGTCAAATTATGGCTCCAAAGTTAGCAAATAGATTGGAAGATGAAGCCTGAGAAAAAGGAGTACCTTCATAGTTTCCAATCATGGTTTTTGTGACATTTGCATTTGGGCCAATGACTGCCAAAGACTTGATTGCAGAGGAAGACAAGGGCAGACATCCTGGGCTGTTTTTAAGCAAAACTATGCCTTGCCTTGCAGCCTCCCGGGCCAACTCCTGATGCTCTGCTGTGCAAACATCTTTTGGACCAAGCTTTCCATAAAGCTGCTTGCTGGGATTGCCATCAAAGAAGCCTAGCCGCATCAGAGTTAGAAAATTGTTCGTAACCGCCTTATCAATGGCCGTCTCGTTCACCAGGCCTGCCTTCACTGCTGCTTCGGTATGTTTCCCGAGAAAATCGCCACAGTCAAGATCTAACCCTGTTAAAATTGGCACATTTAAACCATTATTTGGGTAAATATTCGATTTCATTTGACAAAGTTCTTGCTGAAACTAATTGAGAACACTGGAATTCCTACAAAAACTTTAGTTATTCAAATTTTGACAGAGTTATTTCTGAAACTAATTGAGTGTATGATTTACCTGCCAATATAGTTTTAGCTGCAGCTTCCTCCGGCGACTTGGTGTAGTGTTGTGAATTGTAAAGCACATCTACTGAATCACAGTCCGAAACTATGTACCTGCAATTATCCAATGCGAGTGGAAAATGTGAGTCGAAACTTCAAATTTGTTACATCAACTACTTAGTTGTTGAGCTCTTTGTGCCCTTAAATTTTGAATTATGATTCTATCTAGTCTTTGATGACGTGACATTTAGACAAATTTTGGATAATTTGACCAATACAAATAGACAAAACAAAGTAACATATACAACCTAACTTTTAGAACAACTTATCAAATTCTTTTTGTAACATCATATCAAGTCAATTAATGTTCATCAAACACACGTACGTTGTCAGTTAACAGGATTAACAACCATTACTAGATAGAATCACAATTTAAAATTCAAAAACGTAATCTAAACTTTTCAAACCTTAGGACTAAGTAGCCACCACCATCAAGATTATAGGTTGATTATTTGTAAGTTCACCAAAATGTAACGACTTCATTTCATTCTCTTTTTCAGGGAAAAGACCAGACAGGAGAAGAAACAAACATACCCATTCAATTTCCACTCGCCTCGAATAACCCCAGCAAGAAGGTCTGGATCAGCACAGGTTGGTTTGCCATTAACTTGATTATAAGAACACATGACGCTAGCCACATTGCCATCAATCACACAGCTCTTGAATGGCGGCTGGAACGTATCCTCCAAATCCTGGGCATTCACCTTCACTCAAAAAGAACAAACCCACCTTTAGAAACAGAACCCAGAAGTAAAAACACAACTCAGAGCATTCACAGTGAAAAATGAATGAATTATTATTAGTATTATTTACCACAGCATTGAAGTGATAACGATCTGTGCCTTTCCAGTTATCCAAATCGTAGGCAGTGTAGTGTTTGCAGCAGGCGGCAACTTTAAGGCGGTCAGGGTCACCGTCATCTCGCTGCTGCAGGCCCCGGACGTAGCCAGCCGCGTACTTGCTGGAGAGCAGAGGGTCCTCGCCGGGAGTCTCTTGGCCTCTGCCCCATCTGGGGTCTCTGAATATGTTCACATTCGGCGACCAATAGGTCAGTCCTGCTAATCCCACATTGTACATGGCTCTTGCCTCTGTTGAAACTACCTGTAGAATCCATAAGTAAAATTTCCTAAATTTCAAATCTAATCAAATCTAATCTAATCTCACTCCTTCAAGTAAATTTCTTTCTTTTTCTTTTTCTTCTTTTCCATTTGGATTATCCAGAAAAAAGAATGTGAGCTAGCTGTCGGCAGTGGTTTGTAATGTCTGAATCAAAATCTTCCTTTTGAGCTGGAACCAATCAAAAAGTCTCGAGAAACTCTTGAATTTTTTGTGTATGTTCATGTCTGTATTCCAGTAGGTCAACAACTACCATTTTTTTTGCCTAGCAATTATTGGATAATTTGGCTTTTTGATCAACCATTTCAAGTTTCTCTCTCTCTCTTCTTTAAGGCAATAGATTCCTGAAAAATCTTTCACCCACCTCCACATAACGTGCCTAGTAGCAGCTATTCAAGGTAATCTAATATCTGCTTCTCTGACAGAAAATGAGATGGAAATAATCAAAAGAAAAAAAAAAGATTTTTTTTTTCCTGAAAATATAGCTGAAGGACTTCAGTTTTGCCTTAATTGATTGATCCCACTTCAGCATCCACCT